GATATGGTGGGGGAGAGGGTGGAGATATGGTGGGGGAGAGGGTGGAGGGTATAGAGATGTACAGCACAGAAACAGACCTTTGGGCCCAATCTGACCTAATGCCATTTGCCAGAAATTGGCCCATATCCCTCTCAATCCTTCCTATTCATATATCCATCCAGATGCCTTTTTAAATGTTGTAATTGTAACAGCCTCTGCCACTTCCTCTGGCAGCTCGATCCATATGCATTCCACCCTTTGTGTAAAAATATTAACCCACAGGTCCCTTTTAAATCTTTCCCCTCTACTTTTGGACTCTCCCACCCTTGGGGGAGGAAAAAAACATTGGTTATTCACTCTATCCACGCCCCTCATGATTTTTATAAACTTCTATAAGGTCATCCCACAGCCTCCAACACTCAATGGGAATAATGTCCCAACTTATTCAGCCTCTTCCATAGCTCAAACCCTCTAACCCCAGCAATGTTCTTGTAAATCTTTTCTGCGCTCTCTCAAATTTAATAACATCCTTTCTATAAAAGGGCGACCAGAATTGTATTGCAGTATTCTAAAAGTGGCCTCAGCAATGTACTGTGCAGCCACAACATAATGTCCCAACTCCTATACTCAGTGCATTGACTAATAAAGGCAAGCATGCCAAATGTCGTCTTCACCACCCTGCCTACTTTCAACTCCACTTTTAAGGAACTATGCACCAGCACCCCAGGTCTCTTTGTTTGACAGCTCTCCCTAGGCCCAACCATTGACCAAATAAGTCTTCTGGCACCTCACCTATGGCTGTTGATGATACAGATATCTCAGCAAGAGGCCCAGCAATCTCTTCCTTAGCTTCCCACAAAGTTCTGGGAAACACCTGATCAGGTCCTGGGGATTTATCTACCATTATATGTTTTAAGACCTCCAGCACCTCTTCTGAATTGTTTTCAAGCATCTCTATTTATTTCCCCAAGTTCCCTGGTATCCATGTCCTTCTCCACAGTAAATACTGATGTAAAATATTCATTTAGTATGTCACCCATCTCCTGTGGTTCCAGATGACCACGTTGATTTTTAAGGGGCCTTATTCTCTCCTTAATTACTGTTTTGCCCTTAATGTACTTATCGAATTTCTTTGGAATCCCATTAACTCTATTTGCCAAAGTCATCTCATGTCCCCTTTTTGCCCTCCTGATTTCCCTCTTAAGTATAGTCCTACTGCCCTTATACTCCTCAAGGGATTCACTCGGTCCCAGCTATCTATACTTGATATATGCCTCCTTTTTCTTGAGCACAGCCTCAATGTCTCTAGTCATCCAGCATTCCCTACGCCTACCAGCCTTGCCCTTCACACTAACAGGATCATACCATCTCTGAACTCTTGCTATCTCATTCTTAAAGGCCTCCTACTCCCAACCATCCCTTTATCTGCAAATAGCCTCACCCGGTCAAATTTTGAAAGTTTCTTCTAATACCATCAAAATCAGCCTTACTTTAATTTAGAATTTTAAATTTTGGATCAGTTCTATCCTTTTCCATAACTATTTTAAAACTAAAAGAATTATGATCTCTTGTCCCTAAGTGCTCCCTCACTGACACCTCAGTTACTTGTCCTGCCTTATTTTCCAAACAGAAGGTCAAGTTTTGCTCCTTCTCTAGTAGGAACATCCATGCATTGACTAAGAAAGTTTTCTTGTACATGCTTCGCAAATTCCTCCCCAGACAAGCCCTTAACACCATGACCGGCCCAGTCTATATTTGGTAAATTAAAAACACCTACCATTACCACCCTATTATTCTCTCAGATATTTGAGATCTCTTTACATTTTGCTTCTCAATCTCCCATTGACTAACAAGATGCGTGGGGAACAAGATAGGAGTAGGGAAGGTGAATGGACATTGTTGGAAAAAGTAGGAGGGTCTGGGGAAGGAAGAAACTGAAGGAGAAAAGTAGTAAAGAGAGGAAGGTGAAGTGTGATTGTATGGAAAGAGGTGGTGATAGAGAATTGTCAGGATGTTCTGAGTGGAGGGTGGAGAGCAGATTTGGTTACAGCAGTGTGTGTGATTTTATTCACAGGCGATGTCTGTCATTGGAGACAGAAGATCCCGGGAACAGAAAGCTAAACAGGAAAGGTCTGAATCTCTGGTTGAATCTCTGCACTGTAAATAAACTCTCTTTAACAGTTGGGGCAGCAGTGGAAACAGACAGGGCTGGGGTACGGAAAACGTTCCCATTTCAGGCCAGTTCCTTTCAGAAATCTCAGTCCCTGCTTCCACCTGTAAATCTGATGAATAATAGCTCAATGTAGTTGTAATACTGAGCCGAACTTCAAATTTCTACCCCTAACACTGGCTGCCCACTCCCCTGTTCAAACCCATCATCGCTAAAAATGACCATGATGCTTTTGTGAGCTCCAGTGTATCTCCCACCATCAGCATGTTCATTGTGGGTTCCTATTCCCTAAACTGCCTTCACCCCTCACTGATTTCCTAATGCCCCAGTGTGTTGATTTTCTGTAGCATTGTGGATATTTAACCTCTGTAATTAATACTTCCTGGATCATACCTTCCCTGTTCTGATTCTGATCAACCATGCATCATAGGATAGGTGCAAACAGACAGACTCACCCACAGGGGGCCACAAAGACCAGAGGACACAATCTCTAATTAAGGAGCTGCCTATTTAAGGCAGAAGGGAGGAGGATTTATTTTCTGAGTGAAGCTGTGGAATTCTTTACCTCCAGAGCTGTGAAGACTCAGTTTTTATGTATGGTAAACTTTGTTTTAACTGCCACTTATGATAAACCGGCAAAAATTATTGTACCCCAAATACTGCAAGTTTCACTGGATTATCGTGATGCCCAAGCAGGCAGTTGAGGATGTGGGTGAGAAGGCGCTGTGCCCTTTGCTTTTATTTAAAGCAAAGTTGCATCATTATTTGAGTGATTTATGCTGTAAATAAGGTATAGCAGTGATGTGTATGTCCCCACATTATGTTTCAATTACTTATGTGTTTTTACACTATTGACCTCTTGATCAACCACCACACTCCTGGTCCCATGGGGGCTGGTTAGTTAAACGTTTGCTGATTATTCAGAGCTGAGATAGACATTTTAATTGTGAAGGGAATCAAGGGTTATGGAGATAAGGCATGAAACTGGAGTTGAGGATTACTCAATTACCCATTGATCTCACTCAATGGTAGAGCAGACCGGATGGGCCGAAAGGCCTATTTCTGCTCCTGCACCTTTCCCCAATAATATGCACTTCAGCTGTTGTGATCCTGCAGGAACCTCTCTTCACTGTCTGCCACCAATCCCATATTCAGAAGTCTCCTGAAAGCCTCCACTTGGAGCATCAGTCTGTCGCCTTTCTGGTGATCACTATCTCTCCGTTACCTGATCCAGCTTCTTGGGCTGTTTCATTGTGTCTGAGTATTTCACATCCTTTTTTCCCCATCATTCTGAAATAATCCCTAGGGTGAAAGCTTCTCATTCCACCATAATGTGCCTTGTATTCCGTAGCCTGGTAAAGAACAGTGTTTTGATTTTATTTCTCCCTCTTACAGGGAGAAAGAACTGGCGAAAGTGACCATCAGGAAGGAGGACGTTGAACTGATTGTGAGTGATTTGCAAGTGCACAAAGTATTTGTTTGTGCTTGAACTTAAACTCCAGCTCTTCTATACCATATCATACGATTCTTAAGAGTCTGCCCATCCAACAAAACATGCATTTAGGGAGAATGTTTATACATGTATCACCAGCATAGACCACGTGGGCTAAATGACCTGTTTCTGTAAATCCTACGTAAATTTGTGAATTTTTTTTTTGCAGTCTGGTTCCAGGGGTTCATTGTGTCCTTTAAGGAAATTAGGGTTTTTGCCATATTACCCAGAGATCTTCCTCCATGTCAAGCTCTAAACATCTTTCCCAGTACTTCAATTTTTGTGCACTCTAAGCTGATGGCACTTAAGACTGATTAGTTGACTTTGATAACAGTGGACGAGAATAAAACTGTTGATCTGTTGTTGTCTGCAGTCTTGCAACAGAACTCCACTCCAGTCCTTAGCCTGTGCTGAATGACTTTTTTGCAATAAGGAAGGGACTACTGTCTTGCAGGAAAAGCAGTAGACTGTGGCTCCCTCCACCAGCCCAGCTGGATCTTAAGGGCCCATTACATTCAGGGAGATCTCCCTTTTTCAACCAGCAATCTAAGATATTTTCCAACTAACCAGTTCAAAGATGTTATGACCTACTTCTGAAGCATGTCGGACCTGAACCCAGCTCAGGTAGGGACGCTACCACTATGCTACAAACGCCCTTAGCTAGGAATTTAACTGGTCAATAGTCTCATTGCTTTTTCTGCATTGATCACTGATCATCAATTATTGCGAAAGGGATTGCTGTTGTAAAATGTGAAGTGTATTGGATGAACACAAGGATTTCTTCTCTTTATAGAAAGAGACCATTCAGCCCATTGTGCCGTCTGCCAGCTCTTTGACAAAGCTGTCCCATTTGTCCCACTTGCCCTTTTTCCCTATTGGCCGTCTAAGTATTATTCCCCTTCACATATTTATTGATTTGTTTGTTTGAGTTGCTATGGAATCTGCTTCCTTCACAAGACCACGAAAACTCTGTTTAAAACCAAAAGGGTCTCCTGCAAAAGTTGGAGAAGGTGAGGGGAAGCAATCTAGTAAAGACTACTTTAGATTTACACTTAACCTGTTTTCTCTCTAGATGAATGAAATGGAGATCTCTCGAAGTGCTGCAGAGCGTGGTCTACGAGAACACTTGGGAAATGTCGTTGAAGCCTTGATAGCTCTCACTGACTGAAGTCACAGTGCTTCACCTGAGGCACTTTTTTGGAGACGTTTGGGAGGGGCGGGCAGGGGATTGAGGGTGGGGCAAGATGGAATCGAACCGGAGATCCACCTATCTGTGCAGTCACTGCCTGCTGTTTGGTAACAGGACTGGGATGGTTTCAGTGAAATGAATGTTTTGCTACTGAAGATCCAACACTGACATCCTGAAGATGGGCACGATGCTCCAAATGGAAAGGAAATAAAAGACTCCACTTGAACCAATAAGTGTAAGCTCATTACTCAAACCCTGATGTATGCTTGCTTTTGAAGATTTTTACAGCGTAGGGAGGAGAAGAGTATTCTGCATGTGAAGTCTGACATCTGCCTTTTATCGGTTCGAAACCATCACTTCTGCTTAGTTTCTCAAGTAAGGTTTTGTATCCCCTTTTCCACTTTTATCTTAAACATTATTGAGCGCTCTCCTGGTCTTTTCTGTCAAAGTTTATGTGGCTTTTCTTGTAATTATTTCCTCAGAGGTGAGGGATCAGCTCTGGGGGATACTTGCCCTGTGCGTGGGAACAAATTTCAAAGCATAGTCGGTCAGGCCAGAGCAGATAATATCCACTGTCCTGGTTATTTTCAGATTTGTTTCTTTCTGACATCTATTTCCACAATTCCTTGATTTTAATCCATTTCAGTTTGATCTTGATTAGTCTGTAAGTCAGCACAAAGTGGTTGATACCCATCTCCATCTTTAGATAATTACGGCACATTATTTAGATCAGGCCTTTCCAAAAAAGAACCTTTGCAGGATAACACACAGGAGATTATTGTGAAGAGTAAGGGAATGTACCATATTGTATTTTAAAAATTGATTAGGTGAAACATGGAAACAGGAATGTACCATATACACCCTTTGAGTCTGTTCCATTATTTAATTAGATCATGGCTGACTGGTAGCCTAATTCCACAGAAGAACTTTGCATATATTCTTCGCAAGTTTTTTTTTTTTCTTTTTTTGCAGCAGAGCTCTAGAATCTCAGATTTAAAATCATTTATTGATCCGGTGTCAATTTTCAGTTTGCGGAAGAGAATTCCAATCTTTGTGTAATCCTTAACTTTTGCACTTAAAAGATATGGCTCCTACTGTTCGTCTGTGTTCCTTTAATCCTCGATACTCCACAACCAGGAGAAATATTTTCTCTTGAAGGAAGAAAGCTGAGACTATAAAATTGCAACTGGAAATATGTAGTTGTGATCCTCGGGTTTTGTTCTAGCATGACTATTCAATCATTTGAATATAAGAATAAAGAGTCAAAAACACAAATTGCTGGAAAAGCTCAGCAGGTCTGGCAGCATCTGTGGAGAGAAATCAGAGTTAACGTTTGAGTCGTGACCCTTCCCTAGTTCTGTGAAACGTTTAGTCTGATTTCTCCGCTGATGCTGCCAGACCAGCTGAGCTTTTCCAGCAATTTCTGTTTTTGTTTCTGATTTACAGCATCCACAGTTCTTTCAGTTTTGAATTAAAGTATTGTTTGGTCTAGGGGGTCCCATTTCTTCCTTTTGAACCAAAAGCAGCAGGTTTAAGTCCCACTCCACGACTTAATGGCCAAACGAATGTGTGTTCGTGCCCTGCCCAAATCCTTCCAATATGGCAGGCCGTAAGAGTGGGTGAAATTCCTGGTCAGTCACCTGATACCAAGAGCAATGGAGCCTCTACAATCACAATCTGCAGTTCCAGCTTACAGTCCTTGTGTATGGATGGCAGACAGGAATGTGGAATTGCAATCGCAACTGGATCAGCAGTGATCTTATTGAATGGAAGGTCAGGTTTAAGGGCTGAGTGGCCTCCCCTTGCTCCTATTTCTCATGTAAATTTTTGGATGAAACTAAAATATGGGACTAATACTGAAATCAAAAAGAGGCTGCAAGATCTGGAGAGAGTTTTAACAAAGTGAAGATTCTGGCTGAGTGTGTGAGGCACTTTATTTTGATCACGAGTGTGGAGTGGAACGGGACGAAGGGGCAGAGGGTTTTTCTGGGTCTGCTTTACACAAAATTAAAAGCTATTTGTGGGTTAATGCCAAAAGAGAGCTTCTGGAACATTGGCTGTAGTGACAAGAGGGACAGAGTATAGAAGTCAGGGTATGGAATCTCCATAAAAAGTCTTGCTATGACCAGGGCAACAGAATTAATAGTCAAAAAAGTGCCTATTTGTGTAATTATGGAAATGCCTGCAGACTTATTTTCATCTCCTCAGATATTGAAACTATGTGGATACAGAGCAGTACCTCAGCTGATCAGTTGCAAGTTACAGAGACATTGTACAAATGCCAGCCAATGCCTATCTCCAATGAGAGAATGTAATGATGTTTCTTTCCTGTTTAACAGCATTACCTTCGCTAAATAAACAACCCTGGATCAATAACTTAGGGATTACCATTGACTTACATATTTAAATAGACCAGCCATTTAACTGGACTCACCACAATAACAGAGTGGCTACAAGAGCAGGCCAGAAGCTAGGAATACTGCAGCGAGTAACTCACCTCCTGACTCCTCAAAGCCTGTCTGCCATCTACAAGGCACAAGTCAGGAATGTGATGGAATATTCCCCACTTGCCTGGAACAATGCAGCCCCAACAGCACTCAAAAAGCTTGACACCATCCAGCACAAATCAACCCGCTTGCTTGGCACCACATCCACAAGTATCCACGTCCTCCACCACTGACGCTCAGTAGCAGCAGTGTGTACTATCTCTGTACTATCTACAAGATGCACTGCAGAAATTCAGCAAAGATCCTCAGACAGCACCTTCCAAACCCATGACCACTTCCATCTGGAAGGACAGGGGCAGCAGCTACATGGGAACATCACCACCTCCAAGTTCCTCTCCAAGTCACTCACCATCCTGACTTGGAAATATATCGCCATTCCTTCACTGTTGCTGGGTCAAAATCCTGGCATTCCCTCCCTAATAGCATTGTGGGTCAATCTACAGCAGGAGGACTGCAGCGGTTCAAGAAGGCAGCTCACCACCACCTTCTCAAAGGCAACTAGGGATGGGCAAGAAATGCTGGCCAGCCAGCGACACCCACATCCCACAAATGAATAGGAAAAAAAAATTAAATTTTGTGGCCACAACAGTGAAAGTTGGGACTTCTGTAGTGAGGACTCCCCAAAGCCTGTCTACTATCTACAAGTCACAAATCAGGTGTCTGATGGAATACTCCCCAGTTGCCTGGATGAATGCAGCTCCAACAACATTCAAGAAGCTCAACACCTTGCAGGACAAAGCAGCCCACTTGTTTAGCACCAGATCCACCATCTTCAACATTCTCTGTATCGCTGAGGCACAGTGACAGCAGTGTTTACCATCTGCAAGATGCACTGCAGTAACTCACCAAGGCTTCTCCAACAGCACACTCCAAACCAGTGACCTCTACCTAAAAAAGAACCAAAAGACTTAAATTTATGTAGCCCTTCCCACAATTATCTTAAAGTGTTTCCCAAGTGTTTGAAGTGTAGTGATGGGAAAAGTGGTGGCCAATACAGACACAACATGATCCCCCATACAGAAGTGATAATGATCATGAGCTTTCCTGAAATGTTAATTGAATATTGGCCTGAGATTCTGGGATAACTCCTCCGTTTTTCTTTGGAATAGCCATGGGATCTTTCTGAACTCCGTCCATACTGCACTAGAGTGTCACCTTTTTGCTTTTTGCGTTCATCCTAGAATGGGACTCGATCCCAAAACGTTATAACTTGGAGAGCAGAGTGTTATTGACTGGCACACCCGTAACAGCAAGTGCCAGAGGTGGCCCACTAAGTTCCCCTCTGAGCCTCACAGCATCCTGGCCTTAAATTATATTTTCATTCACACTCTCTCTGGGTCATTAACCTGATGCTCCCTCTTTGTGGGTGTACCTACAGCATGCAGACTGCAGTAGTTCACAACCACTTCATGGGCAATAAATACAGGTCTTGCCAGTGACACACACATTCTGAGAGTGAGTTTGAAAAGGAGAGATGACCTTGTCTAGCAATAGAAGGACTGGGAATCAGTCTTTTTAAAATTTTAAATGCAATTATCGTGAAAGATTCCTGTCCAGCTTGCCAGTTGTTGCCTGAATCTGATGTGACACAGTCAATGCTGACAGATTGGAGAAAGGAGCTGGAAAATGCCCGTTGGTGGGATGAGTGCAAACTGAGGGAGAACAACGAGATTGCAGATTGAATCCTTCCTGATGTGTACATTTAGCAACCTCCAGGTCGTTGCTGTACTGAAGGGTTTAAAATGTTTGTCCCAGGTTCTATTTCCATATGTTAAGATGGTTTAAGGAGCCTTAGAGGATTTGCAGCTAATCTCTGTCTTAATGCTTGTTCGACACAGTTTGACATTTCTGCTGAAAGATCAGCTTCTGCCCACACTGTATACAACCTGGTGAGCCAGGGAACATTTGTCATCTGGAGTTGCTGGTCAATATCGAAGCTAGAAATTTAATTTTTAACAGTGTGTGGGCTTTGTTTCGGAGTCGCTTCACTGCAGCATGGTGTTGGGATTACCAGAACTGTATGGCCTGTTGTGAAAGAGTCAACACATCAGTGATGAGGGGCTCGTTTGACTTGTGGGTGCCCTGACCCTGGAGCTCCACGATTTGTGGGGGCATGTGTGAACGCAGTTTCCGAGCACAGGTAAGCAGTAACCTGGAGAGGAAATTCTCTTTGACTCCTGGGAGGACTCAGGCTGCAGGATAGCAGCAAGGCTGGAGGTTTTGGGGAGCAGAAACTGGGTAGCAGAGGCAGAGGACAGCAAGAAGACAGAGAGATGTGAGAGGGGAGGAAAATGTGTCGGATGGTAGATTGCGGAGGTGTTCATAATAAGATTGACAAGTAGTGAAATTGAGGATTAAGATGGTGAATGGCTCCCACAACCAGCCAGTGCCTTTGCCAAAGCCAAACTGCCTGTCTGTGAGTGTGAGTCCTGCCTGAACCTTCTAAGCATTCACAGATGAAGATCCAGCACTGATCCCCAACTGCCCAGGTCTGGGCTTGGTCT